TTTCTCCAACTAGTACTTCTCTTTGAATTATAAATAACAATTCTTATCTGTTTTGTTAGAGGAAATTGCTATTAGATATTTCCTAACAGCTAAGCAAGAACATTCTAATTCTCTTTTTCTTAAAAAAAGGGGTGAATTTGGATTAGTCTTGGCTAATTTCAAGATAAAAAAATTTGGTCCGCCAAGCCAAACCATGATCAGATTATACTATGACCAACCACGGGCCGATTCCCAATTACTGTATAAAACCCATCATTGATCCTAATTTCCAATTGATATGGATGGCCTAAAACTGGTTTCAGACCGAAACGGAGTAGTGGCCATTACTATGAATTTCAAAGGACAAAGAAACCAATTTCATTACAATACCACAATCGCTAAGTATGTTCTCTTTTAGTATATTAAAGGGTTATTTGCTTGACATTGAAAATATTTAAATCTATTATCTTGATTCTCAATTAAAAATTTTAAATTAATTAATGTCAATTCAGTTAAATTCTTATCGATACAAAAATTAATTAAGTTAGCATTGCTTTTTCTTAAGAGTTTGGGCAGTTTTGAATGGTAGTAAAAACAGGAAACAGGAAACTTTTTTGTTCCCAAGTTGATCTTGTGAAGAATCTTGAAACAAATACCAATGAAATTTACTCGAAGCTGCCGACAGAACTACTGGGGATAAGGGGACGGATCTGCACAAACTCTAAAGACTTGATAAATACTCCCTCTGTTCCACAATATTAGTCGTTTTAGGTTGAATTTTTTGTTTCCATTTATTTGTCGTTTTGAGCAAATCAAGATTTCTTTAAATTTTATTTCCACTTTTACCCTCCAATAAATACTTAAGATTATTAAGCTTTTTTATTCTGGAAAAGAAAAAGACTCTCCGCCTTCCTTCCTTCATTTCATCTAAATTCTGAAAAACCTACCGCATTCAAAATGGTTATTCAATTTCTCTTATATTTCCAATACATCAAATCTACTCTTATTGACTTTCAAATTTTCCATTTAACAATGGTTCTTAGAGTTTTGCCATTTCAAATTTTAGAAAAAAATCAATGGAAGATAGAGAACCAAAGGAGGGGAAGAAATTTGCATTGGATGTTGATTTGAATGACCCTGCGATAGAAGGAATGGATATTAACTCAAATGCTTTTGCGGAAGAAGGAATCGACATCAACTTGAATGCCCCAGCTCGTAATGGATTGAATATCGACTTGAACATCCCTGCTGATCGTGGAATGAATACTGACTTCAATGCTCCTACTTATTGTGGATTGGATATCAACTTGAATGCTCCTGCAGATCTTGGATTTGATCTAAACAAAAATGCAATACCACAAGTTTTTGTAGAGGAAAAATTGCAGCAGGTATATAAAGATATGTTAAAAATTTTCTTTCCATACTATTTTAAGTAGTCACTCTTGCAATATGGAGAAAGGGGATAGATTAGGAAATTGGAAACAAAGGGTAGAGGCAGAGAATTTTCCATTGTAAAGGGTTCTAACCTCTGGGTTTTTGGTCTAGCCTTTTCAGTAGTTTGCTAGTGGTAGAGAAAAAAAAAAAGTAACTTTATTGGAGATGGAGGGTAGAACCAATCTCTGTCCTATTCCTAGTTCGGAAATTGAATAAAAGTTTTTATTTCTTATTTTCATGTGCATTTGATTCTATTAGTAATTGGTTGACTTTGGCGAGAGTTGTTTTAATTCTTTGATTGTTTGGTTTATAGACAAGGTGATTTGAAGGGCTTTAGATAAAATTTTTGCAATGCCCACCAAATGTTTGATGAATTGTTTGAGTGGGGTTCTACTAACTTTTTTTGCTTGGTAGAAATAGGAATCATGTGGCATATAATACATGTATGTTAATTGCATCAAACTGCCATATATGATTCTTCTCCATTGAATAGTCAGTGGATAACTAGTGCTATAATGTGCATATTTATGATTGCTTCATTGTTGTAATGTGCAGATGATTTAATTGAATTGTTGCACCTATTGAGAATGGACAGTCTACTAAAAAAAAATTGATGATTGTCTCTATACTACTTGAGGGTGAAACATAACTTTATTGTATACACTAGGAAAAAGGATTCACATCTTATAGTACATTTTTTTCTGACTTTCTATTACATTATGTTTTTTCTATTGTTATTATTATTGAATAGTTGATGGGAATGGCTGATGGGAGTAACCAAGAGCATGCTGAGTTTCATAAAAAAAAAAAAGAAAACATTTTAAGCAGTGATACGCATGAATGCCAACAAATGGTTAAAATAATAGGATAACTAGTGTAGGTTAAATCCTTTCATGAGATTAATGCAAGGGCAAGAGATGTTTCTTTCTCTTTCAATAATTGGTGATACAAGTTGAGTTATTATATAAATTCATTAAAACCTTACAACAAGAAAGATAAGTGATGTAGATAGAAGGATATGTTTCAAATGACTCCAAATACAAGAACTGATTTATTAACCAAATGACCACAGTTTGGTCACAAAAGGTAGAAATTGATGATAGAAAGTTTAACTTAAATGATTGAGAACTTCTTGTACCAAGGCCGAATCACTTCTCAACTGGGTAGGAAGTTGGCCTATATTATCTAATGTTGCTTTCTTCATATGTGGAATTTTATAACTGTTGCCCCCTTTAACCTTCATAATTTCTATCATACATGATTGTAATGTTAGAAATATGTAGTTTGATTTAGTTGTTGAGAAAGCTTCAAATGACTTCTCAACAGCATTAATAAGATCATCAATATTTTTTGGGGCCTCCTTATATTGTAAGGATTGAATGGCACTAAAAAACCCAAGGTCCAAGACATTTAAATCTGGAGAGTTTGCTGGTTGGCACATCAACCGAATGTCAAAACCATCTTCTGTGGCAGCTCGACGAAATTCTTCATCATTAGGATCAATATGTGTTCTTGCATTGTCTTGCTGAAGAAAGATGGGATGCCCAAAATCCTCTCTTGGCCACTTTGCTTTAATTGCAGGTATGACTTTATCAATCAAACATGCTTTTATGGTTTCTTTTTTCACTGAAGTAACTGCTTTTGTCTCTAATGTACCAGCAGCTCGATTGACACTTGTTCTTTTAGCTGGCTCTTTGGTAATGAAAGGAAAGACACCAATTTTCCCAGAAAAAAGTTCATTTCCTTGTGAGTCAAACCTTGGGCGAGCTATGACAGCCATAAACATAACCTTTCCAATATGATTCTTGCTTCTTATGGTCCGTAACGGTTCTTTTTCAGTAGGTAGCATGTAATAATTTTCAGTCTTCTTTGTCATATAGAATCATTTTTCGTCAATATAAATTATATTGTACATCCCGATGAAAACTGGGTCATGTGGTATACTAGCTCTCTCAAGCATTGACATGCAAAATTGCAATCTAGCACGCTTATTTTCTTCATTCAACAATGGCTTTATAGCATTTGAGTGCCGCCGTATTTCTCCAGACTTTAAGCATCTAAACAATGATGTCGTGTTTGTTTTCAATGACTCTGCTAAAGATCGAAGGGTCTTTCTTCTTTGAAATGGGATCTCAGACATTTGAGACAAGTTAATTTGGACCCTTTTACGACTGCAATTTGTCCTTCTGTGAGATACATCACTGCTAGTTTTTGACTGTCTCCAAATGCGTTGAATAGTTCGAATAGACACCTTAAACTCTGAAGCCACTGTTTTTGTTGTGCCTCTCTTCAATTTTCCATCAACACTTTTTCGTAGCAATAAGCTATATATGGCTCGACGGGCATCATTGGACAGATTATTAATAATCTTCTTACAAACTGAGTTATTTTCTGCTTGTGAGACATTCACATTTACATTCTGCTCATCAATATTGCCTGTTATTCAAATAAAATAATATTAAAGAATTAAAATTGTTGATACAAAAATGAACTCAAACTGAAAGTAGAATTGAATTAATCTTATAAAACCCAAATAACATTAGAGTTCTATAGAAAAGGTTTAAAAGAATATAGCAGTAAAAGGCAGATCAGAACATGAAAAAAAAAAAAAAAAAAAAAA